TGGAGACTACACAACTTCTGGGGAACGTCTTCTACTGCCCGACTGTCGTCATGGTGAAAAAGCTTTTTCTTTTTGTCAAATTGGAACTTCTAAATCTCCAGATACATACTTTTCATGATTGTTCCTCAACTGTCTACATTATTCTCTTCTGTTTAGCTCCATGCACAGTTGTGCCAAATGTTCTGAAGCAAGATCTGCTTAACTTGAAGTTGTAAATGATTTAAGTCTTACTGTGATTCAGTATAAGAATAAAGATTATATATTTCTAATGAAAAGCCAGACTTTTCAGGAATAATGCAGCTGTGCGTTCCAAAAAATCAAGTTTAATGCTCCACTGCTTCACTTTGTGGAAATAAATGAGCAGGGTGACATTTATTTTAGGAAAGTCTAAGTTATCTGAAGCAGCATTGATTGATAGTTCCAAGCCATTTTTGTGATGGTAATTAAAAATTTTTAAAAGCCAATTCTTCATTCAACCATGAGTTGTATTTTGCTCTGTTTCCAGTATGGTGGTTTCTGTCCCAACTCTAAAAGTTAATGCTGTTTTAGTTTTGTGGTAGTGTATTCTGGCAACATTGTTTATAGTATTTGTCTCTGGAAATGAGTGCACCTAACCTAAAAGTGTGAAAAAGATAAAAAAAGAATAAAGGCCATATAAATACAAATAATCAAACTTTTTGTTGGTGTACTTTTGCAAACACTGCATTGAGATAGCTATGTGATTATAGTCCATTGAAACCATTTTTGTAGCATCAGACTGAAACTACTTTGAAGTGTTGAATATTCAAACTAGATTTGCACAAACTGTTTTTAAGCTTTCATAGTTTTTCATAAATCGGTGCTGGCCACCATAATAACAATTAATATATGATTGCGTGACCTGCTCTTCAGATTTCTGAGAAGCAGCCTGCAGAGTAAAGTTTTAGCTTTAAATCTCTTTGCTAATAATTTCACATTTGTATGTGATTAGTACATGTTGTTCTTCACTTCAAAATGAGGCGCGCAAATTTAGTTTTGATTATTTTTTTATGAACACAAAGGGGACCATGGTGTTTGCTGGGTAGTAATCTGGTAGTCCAGGTAGCTTTTGTCAGGAGGCCTGTGTTTTGTCAACCTGCGTAATTTTAAAGATTTCAAGATGCAGAATTTGTGATGTAAGTTCCTAAGTCAGAATTTCATTCTGACTCTTCATTCTGTGTGTTACCATCTCATTCTCTCACACACAACACCTGTGTGTTCCAGGTATTTCTGCATACGTAGCCACCAGGCTTTGGGAGTACATTGGCATAGTTCAGAGCCTGTTTAGAGTCACAAATACCTGCCAGCAGAATTTCTACAGGTGTCTCTAGTTAGGCTGTCTAAATTCACTGTACAGCAGATGGCACTGGAAGAGCACATCAGTGGGAGACTTCAGTGGTGCCATAATTCGTACAAAATACTAGCGAAGCTGTTGCAGTGCTGAGGGTTGTGAAGAAGTTGAGTAGCTCATTTTAATGTATTCCAGGAAGGGGGTGCATGCTGGGCTTTTCTGTTTCAGCTCTTCTAGATGTAGACAGTGGAAAATTCTACACTTGCAAGTGTATGAGTGCATCTTATATTGAGGGCTGTTTATACAGCGCTTTTAAACACATTAATATGCAATGCAGAATTACTGGCAGTTTTTTTAAGTACGTGCAAAGAAAGAAGAGTATCTGGATCAGTTAGGGTATTTTGACTTCAGGGTATATTTGCTTTCTCCTGTCTTCTGCATCTCCTGTGTAAGAGATGTCATAAAGTAGAGTGGTTCTCATATGGAAGACTTGTTTAGAGGCTTGCTCTCATCTGTAAGCGTGTTCAGTTTACTTCAGAGAGCTTTGACCCAGACTGTCATTCACTAGATGTTATTGTCTTTTCCTGGATGAATGAGCTGGACTTCTGGATATATGCATGTTGTTTGTGGTTTATATTTGAACTTTTATTATTTCTTTATATGAAATGTTAAAATGATAGAAGTAATGAATCGTGCATTTGGACAATCATGCATTTTGCTTGATAAAGATATTGGCTACTAAGGTAGGCTGACAGATGTAAAATACTTTTGTGCTCAAGTGGGCTCAGTAGTCACTCTGAAAGTACAAAATTTTGACTTCTCTATATGCTGGCATAGAGATTTATCTGTTGAGATTATTTTTAGATTTTGGTTTTTCATTTGTAAAAAAACCACATTTTGCTACAGAAGGACTAGTACGTGATAAAAATCTGTTCGTTCAAGTGACTCGCTTAGTCTTTTAGTTATGGAGAAGCTGAAGTTAGTTCCTTCAGTCAAACTTTAGGTAACTTATTCTTTTGAAACACACCAATAAAAAAAATAATTGGTGAACCAGACAGTTTGGGACTCTATAAATGTTCTCTCCTCAATCAGCAATGTGATAATGTTGTTTTATTTTTCTCCCTACTTTAGAAGGCAGATTTTATTCATGCTTGCTTTTTTAGGGTTAGGAATTGCAAACAGTATGATGTACTTCCCACAAGGATGGGGAAACGTATCTGGTAAAGTGGAAATAGTATCAGCTTGTGGATGTTAGAAGCAGTTGGAGAACATTGCGGATTTCACAAGTGGGGCTAATGTGAGGGTTCCCAGGCTTCTGGTACTACATACACAAAGGCACAGTTAAATTTATCGAATGAACAAACACTCTGACTTTGTCAGTTTAGGAGCAGTGTAGAATCCTGAAGTTATATTTTTCACTCATTTTGTAGGTTCATTTAGTTACATGCGATGAAAAGAGTACTGTAGATTGGTAAGATAGCAAAATCCAAATGGTTTAGGAATAAAGGTCAACAAGGCATTTCGAGTCTACTTTTAATTGACATGTAACTCCCTTTATCTGTATCTAGCTTTTTCTTAATTACTGTACTTTGTCTGTTATTCTGTTACGCCAGATTTCAGGCATCTAAAACCCACTAAATGTATTCTGCTCACGTTTGGTTTTCAGTACTTCCATATTTCCCAATTATTCCAAACATATGGAGCTTATATTAAATATCAGTATTTTAAAACATGAAATGTTATGATTCTGCATGTATCTGTCATAAGAAAAGGAATATAAAAGTAATGTCTTAACCTTTGAAAATACATATGCATGTATCAGTCTCATCTTCAAATTGCGTAAGTGGAATACGTTTTTTTAAGGTGTCAGAGCTCAGGTACCACAGGAGTCATGTTAAAAGTGGAAAATAAGCAGTGAACTTCTAATAAAATATTGGTCCTGTTTTTTAAGGTTTTAATATTCATTTATAGCAAGAGTTGGTTCTTAATCTTTTTGTTTGTTTAGGAAACAAGTTTTTTGGGCATGTTTGTTCTTTGCTGATGGCAAGTAAATCAGTTTACAGGCAGAAGAGAAACCTTTTAGTTTCTCACCATTGAGAGAAAGGAAAGGAAATTGCTGTTTAGTTTGGTAATTAAGAAAAGGAAATGGGAAGAGCTGATGATACTCTAAAGATGGACCTGGGAAATGTTGGAGGTTATGGCAAAGACAGAACAGGTCTTTGAGGTAGGGTGATGCAGATAGTGTAGGGAATTTGAAGATAAGACTCGGGTACAAATCCAAGTAAATCAAGCTTTAGTGCTTCTGCTGTTTATGAGAACGGTGTTCAACCCCCCAGCAGCAGGGCTTTACTTAAAATTTTTCAAGGTATTTTGAAGTTCAGAATCCTTAGATGCCTTACGTTGTCTTTTAGTTTGCTTTGGATAAGATCCTTTAGCCTTTGTGTACTTGAAGACCACAAAAGTTGGGCTGGACAAGTAATAGTCAATGGACTGCTGTTTCATTATAGTAATCATTTTACTTACATGCATTTATGCTATTTTTGAATGGTTATTTAAGAAAATCATATTTTATCAACTAAACTTAATTCAGGTCATTGTACTATTTTTCTCAGTTGCTTATATTGTGATACCATGGGAGAAAAGTGGGAAGTGTGTACATAAGGGCTGTTTTACTTTCCCTTCAGCCTCCCAAACTTGGAAGATCACTTGAAAGATTCTTAGACTCCTCCAGCTTGCCATGCTTAGCCTGGTGCCAGGCTTACTGCTGCAGTTTGTGCTGCTAACATAACATATATTTGGAGGTACATGGAAAAATGACTACTACTAACTGTAGTACCTACTTCTGTGGCAGCAGCAACTTCCCTCTCTTTTCTTTCCCTTCTTGTTCTTCCGCTCTCTGCAGAGCTGCTTGCTTTGGAAGGTCTAACAGACACTAAAAATTTAAAAAAAAACCCCAAAACCAAAACAAAAACCCAAAAAAACCCCAAACCCAAAAAAACAAGCTGAAAAGTCAAATTTATGGAGGGGGTGGGTACATGACTCCAGAAGGCGCCAGGTGTGAGGAGTTGACTGGGACTTGAGCAGATGTGTTCACTTAGTCTTGGCAGAAGTACTGGAGAAAGAAAAGCTGTAATAGTACTAGGCAAGGAGAGCCTGTGATGTGACCTCCGCTATACCTAAAGGAGTTTGGAAATCACTTTTCTTTCATAGAAATTCAGGAGGGGACTTCTATGGTTTGCTCTAAACAGATGTTACTTTGCTGTTAATTTCTGGTTTTTGACTGGAGTTAGTTTTCCTGTAATGATGTAACTATTTGAATATCGCTCGACTTCCCTGCGTAAAGAAAGTATGACCTTGTAAGACCAAGTTTTTAGGACTAATCACAGTTTAACCTGTATGTAGGAATCCTGTCGGATAGAATATCTTCTATAGTTTTATCTTCTATAGTTATTTTTGTGGGGATTTTTTAGGAGCCTTCTGAAAGAGAGGGGTGTTTCTGTGCTTGAAAATTTTATATACGTGCATTAAATATGTATGCCTATGAGTTTGATGTAATGTGTGCATATTTAAAAAAATAGCATGCTAAAAGCAGAAAAAAGTTGTGGAAATTTCCAAGGCAGATGTAGCAGATTCATTTTTTGAGCCTGATTCCTTTCCAAATTAGCTCTCTATATTTACTTTTATTTGATGCCCGTTATTTAAGTACTGCAATTTCTGTTTTGTTTGGAGAGGGGGGAAACCCTTATGGATAATTTTTAAAATATTTCTTTTGTGAAGTTAATTGTTTTTTATTTGTTTCCAGGAAATGGCTCTTGAAGTTAAATGAGGCTGGATAAAACACATAAATGAAGCAGAAGCTGCTCTGCATGTGTTAGGGCTATATCACCACAAGCACTGCTGATCAGCCAGACTTGGTAACTTGTCATAATGAAGAAAATTAGTCTCAAAACAATTCGCAAGTCCTTTAACTTAAATAAAAGTAAAGATGAAAGCGACTTTGTAGTGGTTCAGCAGCCATCGTTAAGTGAATTTGGAAAAGATGACTCCTTGTTTGGCAGCTGCTATGGTAAAGATTTGGCTAGCTGTGAAGTCAATAGTGAAGATGAAAAAGGAGGCAAAAATAGATCAAAAAGTGAAAGCTTAATGGGTACGTTAAAAAGGAGGCTTTCGGCAAAACAAAAACAGAAAGGCAAAGGCAGCACACCATCTGTAAGCTCTGCAGATGATGACACCTTTTCTTCTTCATCTGCTCCAATAACCTTCAAAGATGTGCGAGCTCAAAGACCTCTGAGATCCACTTCCCTCCGTAATCACCATTACAGTCCAACTCCGTGGCCCCTTCGACCTACAAATTCAGAAGAGACTTGCATCAAAATGGAAGTGAAAGTCAAGGCCTTGGTCCATTCCTCTAATCCAAGCCCAGCACTGAATGGCGTTCGAAAGGACTTCCATGACTTGCAGTCAGACAACGTGTTCCAGGAACAAAACAATGCATTAAAAAATACAGAATCTCAGAACGGGGACTTGCATCTTCATATTGATGAACATGTGCCTGTAGTTATTGGATTAATGCCTCAGGACTACATTCAGTATACTGTGCCTTTAGATGAGGGAATGTATCCTTTGGAAGGATCACGTAGTTACTGTCTGGATAGTTCCTCACCCATGGAAGTTTCAACTGTTTCTTCTCAAGTGGGGGGAAATGCTTTCCATGAAGAAGAGAGCCAAGTGGATCAGGATGTAGTCGTTGCACCAGATATCTTTGTGGACCAGACGGTGAATGGTTTGTTGATTGGTACCACAGGAGTCATGTTGCAAAGCCCAAGAGTTAATCACAGCGATGTCCCTCCACTCTCACCTTTGCTACCTCCAATGCAGAATAATCAAATCCAAAGGAACTTCAGTGGATTGAATGGCACAGATGCCCACGTGGCTGAAAGTATGCGCTGCCATTTGAATTTTGATCCTAACACTGCCCCTGGAGTTGGAAGAGTTTATGATTCTGTACAGAACAGTGGTCCTATGGTTGTGACAAGTCTCACAGAAGAACTGAAAAAACTTGCGAAACAAGGGTGGTACTGGGGCCCCATTACACGTTGGGAGGCAGAGGGGAAATTAGCTAATGTGCCTGATGGCTCGTTTCTTGTTCGAGATAGTTCTGATGATCGTTATCTTTTAAGTTTGAGTTTTCGTTCCCATGGAAAAACTCTTCACACTAGAATTGAACACTCAAATGGTAGGTTTAGCTTTTATGAACAACCAGATGTGGAGGGACATACATCTATAGTTGACTTAATTGAACATTCAATCAGGGACTCTGAAAATGGAGCTTTCTGCTATTCGAGATCCCGACTGCCTGGATCTGCAACTTACCCAGTGAGACTGACAAATCCAGTATCTCGGTTTATGCAGGTGCGTTCTTTACAATATCTGTGTCGTTTTGTAATACGTCAGTACACCAGAATAGACCTGATTCAGAAACTGCCTTTGCCAAACAAAATGAAGGATTACTTACAGGAAAAGCACTACTGAAAGCTTATGGGAATCTTGCATCTTGCACTTTGGGAACAACAACAACAAAAAGAGATTGAATTACAGTTTACAGACTTTCATTATTATCAAAATCTTTTGCTGCCATAGAAGTATTTCATTTTTGTGTGTAAAAGAAAAGTAATGCATTTGGATTTATGTTTGTTTTGGGGTTTTTTGTGTATTTTGGGGGCTTTTTTTTTTTGAAAGAATGATTTTAAGTTTATTTTTAGAAGTGTGAAATAGCTATCTTTCATCAATGTGCAGATTAATCACAATGTGAATGATAAAATTCTCCTTAATTTCCCCCAAGTCCTTTGCTGCTATCCACTGTGATTTTTATGCATTGAAAGCACATTTCATGTGTATTCAACCATAAGTAAAAGTCAAATGAAACTTTCTGAATGGAATTTTTTTTTCCTTTAAAATAGCCTGTTTAAACAAAAAATGATCGTGGATAAAAAACATATTGGTATTCTAAATTACAGAATTTACATCTATGTTAAAAAAAAATTTCTAGTATCTTAATTATAAATTTCTATAGAGATATGCCCTGATGTAGAACTTATAGACAGAGCTGTGTGATAAGAACATGGTTATGCAGCGTATCTTTGGGAAAAAAAAAACACCTT